TCCATTTTGTGATTTGATTTTATGGAAAATACGATAAGTATCCAGCATCATTATGGATAATTATATTACTATACATTATTACATGTATTAAACATAATATAGTTATTTCGAATATTRTAGTTTAGGTAGGCACCTAAATCATATAGAGAAGGAAGATTAACGTGGGGTAGCCCACTCAAATGATTTCCTAACCCCGCAAAAAATAAATATCATCAAGTTAAGGATTATTCGACAAAATTAATCGTTTTATAGCTTGATTTGCTTTTAATGGTGGAAAATGGAACGATGATTATAAATAAATTCATTATAATTTTTAAATTGTATGCTGTTTCTGGATTTTACCTTATCTTATAACTATTTTGTATGTCACTAATTATTAAAGTAGAGTGAAGTATTGTAAAGCAAGAAAAATAATTTCATTTTTTTATGTTATATTTATTAAAGTACTTAGATGAAAACAAAACATTTATAGTTTATACGACAAATGTATGGTCAAAATCAGATGRTACTTACTAGGAAATATTATGGATATTTATTAATTACTAAACAACTGATGTCGAAATAATTTAAAACGAACAATGTTGTAGGAACTTTACTGTCAGTTGATGAAGGTACATTTTTTCTTTTGATAGTGGTGGTATATAAAAAAGCAAATTATTCTAATACAAATAGCAAAACTTTATGATAAGTGACAATATATTTTTGTTATGACCTGATATGTAGGTATACGCCACGATGACGTATAATTGTTTTAATCCAACYAGTTTTCTACCACAATTTTTTTAATATTTTAAAAATTTATCACGATATTAATGTCACATTTATTTTTATTAAAAAATAATTTATAATATTATACTAATTTTGGGTAATATTATATAACTTGGAAATATAAATTATAAGCTCTATATTTGTATAATAAATTGTATTAAAATATATATAATATTTATTTACATTCATTCATGGCGTATTATACAATTTTGATTTTCTTTTGTATATTTGGCATTTTCGTTTGTATAATGTATATATTTTCATAGTAGGTACCTACCATAACTTATACCTATTACAAATTTTATATATTTATTTGATTAATTTTAATTTCCATAACATCTGAATTCTTCTACTCCAAGTGAATTTTACCAAGGTTTTGATGGGTTAGAATAGTTAATTTTTTTTTAATAATGGTGATAAAATTTTGTTTGTTTAGTCGTTTAGTGAATTGATTATAATTTAATACAATATTCTTCATATATGATTTT